AAATATATACAGGGTGGCGCACCTCATTCGTCTCGGTTGATTATACGAAAATAGAAAGATGTAGAAACAAAATATTTTATGGGTATATGTGGGGAGTCAATGTGCACAATTTAAAATTATTTTGAAATATACAGGGTATCTCAGAACTAAGATCCATACCAAAGTTATATTTTTTCTTATGGAACACCCGGTATTTTATTTAATTTTTGGATTCTTGGGCCCAAAAAAAGACATTTATTATAAGGGTTTAATATGTTTAAAATCATTGGTTTTTAAGATATTTAAAAATATTTAAATATGCATGCTACAGGAGAATTGATTATTAATACCCTGTACATTACTTTTCAGAATTAATTCTTGTGCTGAGTTTAAAGGCAAAGAAATAAACTTTACCGAAAAATGTTATTACTTCCTTAAATTTATATAGGGGTACCAAAAATTAGTTATTTATTTTAAGGATTTATTTTACATAAAGACTTTGTTATTTCAAATGCAACATCCTGTATTTTTTTAAATAAATTGAAGCAGATTCAAATGCTCTTTCAAACTATATTAGGGTTTCCTATACCTATCTATCTCAGATTTTGAGTAAAAAGCGATTTTTAAATAAAATGGCAATCAAGATGGCTGGTATCGCCATAGCAATTTTCTAGTGACAGTTAGTAACTATTTTCAAAATCGACATTAGTTTATAGACTTTATTTAAATCTATACCAATTTACTTTTATTTAATTGACCTACAATAGTTTAATAAATAATATTTATTAATATGTATTTATTATTCTATAAAGAAAAAGAAAGAAGTAGTTCTTTGTTTTATTTTACGATAACTTGTAGATATATGAATTTTTTATAAAAGAGTTAATTACGACAAATTCAATTTCTTCACTTCCAGCGACAGGTTTCTGCCTAATAGTTAAAGGGCAAATAGGACAAGTAATTTTTCAAAGGAACGCTTATCAGGAAGATTCCTATTTTGATATCTTTGAGCATTAGCTCTTGAGGCCAAGAAATAATTTTCCTCACAAAACAAAATCACTAGTAACATATCCATTTGTTCCACCAGATATGGCTTTATTTCATAAAATAAAGAATACTTACTTATTGTGGGTAAATTTTAGTAAACTGTTTAAATAATAATGACCATACACTAATGTCGATTTTGAAAATAGTTACTAACTGTCACTAGAAAATTTCCATGGCGATACCAGCCATCTTGATTGCCATTTTATTTAAAAATTGTTTTTTATTCAAAATCTGAGATAGATAGATATAGGAAACCCTAATATAGTTTGAAAGAGCATTTGATTCTGCTTCGATTTATTTAAAAAAATACAGGGTGTAGCATTTGAAATAACAAAGTTTTTATGTAAAATAAATCCGTAAAATAGGTCACTAATTTTTGGTACCCCTGTATAAATTTAAGAAAACAATAACATTTTTCAGTAAAGTTTATTTCTTTACCTTTAAACTCAGCACAAGAATTAATTCTGAAAAGTAATGTACAGGGTGTTGATAATCAATTCTCCTGTAGCATGCATATTTAAATATTTTTAAATATCTCAAAAACCAATGATTTTAAGCATATTTAACCCTTATAATAAATGCCTTTTTTTGGACCCAAGAATCCAAAAATGAAATAAAATACCGGGTGTTCCATAAGAAAAAATATAACTTTGGTATGAATCTTAGTTCTGAGACACCCTGTATATTTCAAAATAATTTTAAATTGCGCACATTGCCTCCCCACATATACCCATAAAATATTTTGTTTCTACATCTTTCCGTTTTCGTATAATCAACCGAGGCGAATGAGGTGCGCCACACTGTATATTATTCATAAAAAAGGGAAGTTGAAAAATACCTAAATATTAAAAATTTTGCACAGAGGCAGATTAATAAAATTGCGTTTATTCCATCAAGGAGATTGAAATTGGCAAAATATCAAAAGATGACTATTAAGCTTCATTCAGAAGCTCAAAATTAGTGAAATAAATTAGTGGTTTCAATTAGCGCAGAAGTTTGTTTCTCTAATTTGAATGTAAGTATTTGGAACATCAAAATTAGTGGTCGGAATTTTTAGTTAGTGGAAAAACTTAACTTTCAACTTTTCCACTAATTATACTTCAAAATTTGCGTGGAATGCCATTTTGGCCTTTGATTATCATCTGTCAAGAGATAAATGTCAGAAATCAAAAGTTTATTGTTTTATAAGCTAAATATTAGGCTTTCTCTTCTACAGATTACGGCAAGCTGTTGCTAGGATATTCTATTAATTTTAATTGTGTTTTTTTACATTGTGAATGATACGTAAACTTAAATGTATAAAGTGTAATTGAAACCACCAATTTATTCCACTAATTGCGAGATTCTGAATGGAGCTTTAATCAGCAAAAAACGGTCAACAGAATTATTGCGCTAACAAGAGAAAAAAGTTTTTTTTCCTGAAAGCGTGTGTAAACACACGCTTTTTAGAAAAAAAATCTATGTTAGCCTATAATATGTACGTCCCTGGTGAATCTGATGACATTTTTTAGCATTAAAATACGTAGAACTTATAGTAACATTTACCCTTAAAATGTAATTACAATCGCTAAAAGCACTTGGATGGAAATTATTATAAACGGTAACCCCCGTAGTAGATACGAAACAAGTAGAATCGGACCTTATGTTGATATAACAAATAAATCTCATTTTCTGAGGAATCTTCCCACGAGAGATGGCACATGTTTTTTAAAACACCCTGTAGAAATGTATTTTTTAAATAGCGTGTACCCACGACTTCGTTCGCGTCGAATTAATCATTTGTAATGGTGATGATAAAGCAAAGCAAGAATTTCCATTAACATACAAACTGGATAAAATTTTCTTAGATTTATGTCAGCATGGGAAAAACCAATATGGCGATATTATTATATAACTTGGTAATATTTGAGGGGTAGTTTCGAAAAATCCGTTTGCAAAAAATAAGCTTTTTACGTCAAACAGTTTAAGCAGAATCGTGGTTAAGAAATTACCCAACTTTTTGGAACACCCTGTATGATTTTTTAAAAAATTTCAAAATATGTAAAAAAAAACCAAATAAATTATGCTTGTTCAAGCGTTTTCCCGAAAGACTAACCGTTTTTTAGATAACAAATATTGTAATATTTGAGGGGCGTTTTCACCCTCTTGGAATTTGAAATTCGAGAAACCCCTCCTTATCGAACCTCTACACCCCACAGTCAATCCGTTTGCCAAAAATCAGCTTTAAACGTGAAGCAGTTTAAGCAGAATCGTGATTACTCAATGGTCATATTTTATGAAACACCTTGTATAAATTTATAAAATATCTTAAAATATGTAAAACAACAAAATAAAATATACGTGTTTAAGAGTTTTTCCGAAAAACTCACCGGTTTTTAAATAAAAAATATTTAATATTTGAGGGATAGTTTCACCCTCTTGGAATTGGAATTTCGAAAAATCTCTTCTTATCGAACCTCTACACCCTAGAATCAACCTGTATGCCAAAATTGAGCTTCTTACGTTGAGTGGTTTGAGCAGGATCGTGATTAATCAGTATGTCAGTCACTTAAGGATTTTATACAGGGTCCGGCAATAGTGCGTCGGGCATCTGTAGCTCCTAGAATAAAAAACTTGGTGCAAAGCTAAAGTATGTACTAGGATGTATTTCAGGAAAATATTTTAACTTCTATAGGGTGGCTCAAAAAAGTGTGAGTGGATCGGGATGATTTTTTTTAAATGGAACACCCTGTATATTATTGCATTTTTGGCTTCCTTTCAGATCACTTTACATAATCCTAAGACATGAGTAATAATATATTTTGATCATTTCTGAGATATTAATAAATAAATAAAAATTATATATTTTTCTGCCATTCTTAAAAAAAATTATTAATAATACAAGAACTGTCCTGAAATCAAAACTATATTAGATATTTACTTTAGATGGTATGTACTTACTTTCCTATAAATATGAAAATCGTAAATCATACCGGATGTTCAAAATTCTACGCTAAACTTTCTAAAATATAAAATAATTTTACTTTATTTTTTTAAATGGAACACCCTCTATATTATTTTTTCAATAGATGGAGAATTAAAAAATGAACATTTTTTGCATTTAGTGCGTTTCAAAAATTTTAATGGTTTCGCAGATATTCCCGGTTTTGTATTTCATATGGCATTTTCCACAGTAAATTTTTATCAAAGCCACCCAATGATTTTTCTCTCGTATTTTACCATTGAAAGCGCCATATGAAATAATACTGCGTGTGTCCGGAAAACTACTAAAAATTTTGAAATACTTTAAATACAAAAAATGTTCATTTTTTAATTCTCCATCAAACAAAAAAATAATATAGAGGGTGTTCCATTTAAAAAAACGAAGAAAAATTATTTTATATTTCTGAAAGTTTGGCGTAAAATATTGAACATCCTGTATGATTTACGATTACCATATTTATAGCAAAGTAAGAACAGGCCATCTAAAGTATATATCTAATATAGTTTTGATTTCAGAACAGTTTTTTTTAAGAAGGGTTGAAAAATATATATTTATGATTTATTTTTTAATATCTCTGAAACTATCGAAATAGATTTACTGATGTCTTAGGATTATGTAAAGTGATCTGAAAGGAAGTCAAAAATGCAATAATATACCGGGTGTTCCATTTAAAAAAATCATCCGGATCCACTCACACTTTTTTGAGCCACCCTATAGAAGTTAAAATATTTTCCGGAAATACATCCTAGTACATACTTTAAGTTTTCACTTAAACAAAATTCTCAAGTTTTTTATTCTAGGAGCTACAGATGCCCGACGCACTATTGCCGGACACTGTATATTAGTATAGATAATTAATAAAACGATTTAAAAAACATGCAATAAATTATTATTAAATCCCTTTTCCTAACATAATGATGTTTCGTTATTTTCTAGGGTACTATGAATGTTTTCTAGGTACTATGAATTGTCGATGTATTTCTGTACTTACGCCCAACATGATGGAATGAATTAAACTTAGTAATGAAATCAAGAAGATGAACTGATACCGGTGATCAGATAGCGATGGTTTTTATAATCGGACACACCTCTCCGGGCCAAATCTCAAAACTTTCTCGCCAGTTACAAAATTTTTGGTGAAATAATTTTAAATTCAGATAAAAACGCATTAATGTGAAATATATTCGATGCGTATATCCGATTCCTGGTGGTCTCTAGCAATCAGAGATAGTTTATAGTCCAGAAGGCAGTGATTTTTTTTGTATTTATTTTCCCAGTCGGTGAATATGAAATAACTTGTTTGGATAGTGACATAAAATGATCATTTGTGTCTGGCTAAAATTTACGTCCACTTATTTTTCCAGTCATAAATATTTGACATTTATTAAGGTGAATCATTTTAGTAATGGAGATAACAGTCTGGCACATCCCAAGTGGAGGAGTCATTCTGGCTGAAAATTTGCCGATGCAAAAATTTGACAGATTTTTGAAATCACTAATCCTTATTTTCCCGTGCTTGAAATGGAAGGTATCATTTGATGTATAATGTAGAATATTTAGGAGGAGAGTTAATCACCGCGACCTTACAGATCTATTGAGAAGAGTTATAACTCATCATACAGACTTAGGGTTTTAACAAAAGCCGGTATCTGAGACGGCTCTACAGAGGCCAGCTTTCCATCATCGACATCAGCCGTACCAAAGTTCATGGCACGAACGGTCGTCGCACAGTGCTTCGAACATATGGCTCTAGAGGACAAAAATGCAAAACTTCTCTTTAATTGTAGGTAATTTATTCAAACTAGGTTTATTTGACACAAATGATGAGTACTCTCATTATACTAAATGATGATGTTCTTAGTCCCACGTTTATGAAAAAAAATCTTATAAATAATAAAAATGTGGGAGCTGTGTTCCATCTAAGGAAATAATAATTTATAGTATGAAAACGGTGTAAGTATTAAATAAATCCCTGTGATAAAAAAAGAATTGGAATAACATTAGAACATGATTCCTACAATATAAGCCAATATAAGATAAAAATGTTTTTCTTTAATGAAAAGAAACATTAATGCTATATTTAATTAAAAAAAAACTTAAGATACTATAAATTTACTTTAGGACAACAAAATGCATAGATCGTAACTACTCTGATTCAGAAGAATCACTGCTGACAGAATCTTCCAAAAATTTATAGTATCCAAATCACAGGTAGTTGAAATATCCTCACATATAAGATATTTCGGTACATGTTTTTTCTAATATGTTACTTTTTCGCGTTGTTACTGTTCTTTTTGTTGGTATGAGGGGTTCGGATGTTAATAGTTACCTCTTTAATAGACCATATCAATATATTATTTTTTCGTTTTCTTGGGTATCAGGTTTTATAATAAATTGAAAGATGGAAACTTTTTTATGCGACGTTTCGCTCCAAAATAGTGGGCTTTTTCAGGCACAAATGGTCTCATTTGACTGGAATGTTCATCAATATCTAATAAAGAACACATTTTTTGAAATACAAATAATTTTGAGTTCTTGTCCTTATGACCAAGCCAAGTATTAACCAGATCGGCATTGCTTATCAATTTTACTCCATCTGAAAAATATTATAAAATAAAGTTCGTCGCAAGCAGACGCAGGTGAACTATACAAAAATTAAAAGTGTATGAATATGACAACAAAAATATTCAATAAATACGATATGTTTTGATATGTTTTTTTTTAAATGCCTTTTTGAAGTTTGAAAACGTATAAACGTAATTTTTATACCCATTTAAGAATCATCTTAAAAAATAAATAAAAACTAAACAATCACGAACTTGTTTAGAAATCAATTTAAAGTACATACCTTGGTTAACAATATCCATAGTGGCTTTCAATTAAGTACGTACCGTTTAACTCCATAATATACAGAACTACTATGAATGTTATTCTTTTCACTGATAAGATAATGATCGCAAAATTTATTTTTAGTGAAAATATTTGCTAACAAAAAACGCTGTTTATGAAAAATAATATACAGGATGGTTGAACATTGCTATAAGTATAAAATTACATATTCAGATATTAGTAAATTTTAAATTTTTTTTCGATTTTTGTCCATGGGACGAAGCACTGTGCGTCGTCTCGGCGCACTCAGTGATAAGGTGTTCTGGTGTTTCCCCCCAGAATCTGCATTCGCCGTTGTTCCTCAGCTTCAGCCTACTGAGGTGTTCGTTGAGACAGAGTCCTGTTAAAAACCCCGTGACAATCCGAGTATTGTTCTTAATTAAATCAAAGGAAATCTTTGATTTTTCTCGGTCGTAAGTTCTGAGTTTAAATTTCTTTGAGTGTCTTAGACTGTTGGGGGATTCCCATTCCAAGTTAAGAATGGAGTCTTCCAGGTTCTTGAGTTCCGCTTTAAGTTGGTTTCCACCTGGGAAGCAGCAGGCCCGTTCCTGGGGCATCTGGCGCCTACGTGCAGCATTCTTTGCTGCGCCTTTTTTATATTTAAATCAATTATATATTTTAATCTTAATCTCAAAAATTTAAAGAATTTATATTCTGCGACAAACGAGCAATATGTAATTGGAAATGTAAAAGAACTATTCTAATTAAAGTATAAAAACATTTATTAAATAAATAAAACAAACAAAACCACAAACATTTAGTAACAAAAATAGTACCCTAAAGAAAAAAACTGACCCATTTTATATGAAATACATAAAAACAATAAACTAAAATTCGGAAATAATACACATGTACTGATTTCTTTCGAAAATCGACAACTATGAAACTATGAACCCTTCCCGGACACAAACGGTACATTGTGAAACAGGAAATTGTAGAGAGAAACAAGCCCTATAACATAGGATACAACATTTTAATGAACAGTGCTTTCCATAAAATCAATAAAATGAAAAAAATACGAAATAACATACATGTACTGATTTCTTTCGAAAATCGACAACTATGAAACTATAATCCCTTCCCCGACACAAACACGGAACATTGTGAGACAGGAAATTGTAGAGAGAAACAAGCCCTATAACATAGGATACAACATTTTAATGAACAGTACTTTCCATAGTATCAATAAAATGAAAAATATACGAAATAATATACATGTACTGATTTCTTTCGAAAATCGACAACTATATGAAACTATGATCCCTTCCCCGACACAAACAGTACATTGTGAGACAGGAAATTGTAGAGAGAAACAAGCCCTATAACATAGGATACAACATTTTAATGAACAGTGCTTTCCATAAAATCAATAAAATGAAAAATATAAGAAATAATATACATGTACTGATTTCTTTCGAAAATCGACAACTATGAAACTATGATCCCTTCCCCGACACAAACAGTACATTGTGAGACAGGAAATTGTAGAGAGAAACAAGCCCTATAACATAGGATACAACATTTTAATAAACAGTGCTTTCCATAAAATCAATAAAATATAAAATATACGAAATAATATACATGTACTGATTTTTTTCGAAAATCGACAACTATGAAATTATGATCCCTTCCCCGACACAAACGGTACATTGTGAGACAGGAAATTGTAGAGAGAAACAAGCCCTATAAGATAGGATACAACATTTTAATGAACAGTGCTTTCCATAAAATCAATAAAATGAAAAATAAATAGGTGAAATCAATGTGGTGCCGACAGATTGCCCTAGACTTAACAAAAAACAAAGAGCCCTAGACTTACTATTATAGGTTATTAGAATGCTTAGTTTTACCTTACTAAGTAATTGTTATCAGGTAGTAATTGTTAATTTTGAAGTTTAACTTGATATATGTCATTTTAACAGACGTCAACGGTTTCTTGTAGACGTATCTGTTTTAAAAAAGTAAAGTGTTCTCGAATAGTGGAATTTAAATATTTTAAATAGTTTTTTCTTTATTCTTTGTATTTTTTGTTTCCGACGACGGAAAGAGATAAACTTTCCGAAACGTTAAACATTTTTTTCTTAGTTAGGCAAATTTTTATAAATGTAAACATAACTTCTGACAAGCAGTGTCCGTTTAGGTTTAACGCAGAAGTGTTTACAAAAAATAACTATTTTATTTTATAGATTTTTTTGCAGTGCAGTGGCGAAATACCCATAAAGGATTTTTTTTTGGAGAGATGAATCCGCCACATAGGTATAGACATTTTTTATGTCTAAATAGGTAATAACCTATTCTCACAGATTTGAGATTAGCCAGACTACTTTTTTATTAGCTGTAATTATAATATAAACTATCATCTGACAAATTTTTAGGACAACGAAAATAAGGGCAATGGTTTTTACAATTTTTATTCAACTTTCACCTGCCAGACAAATATGTCTAAATAGGTAATATCCTATTCTTACAGCTTTCACTAATAGAACTGTTTTTGTCTCTGGAAAAAAGTGCAGTATATTTGTACTTTTTTTAACACATATTCTGCCTCAATCCATGGGAAACCCCTCCCCTACATACATATGAAATTTGCTTAGAATATAATAATAATAGCTCCCGTACATAGCGTTGATCGCCTTGGGAGTAGGAAGGTACAGCTTGCCATACTAGAGCCGTTCGGTATACAAGGAAGGTAATGTGGCTAGTACTACGCTTCAACCGCCTATTATTACCTCAGGATTGTGAATCCCAAGTACTCATTGAAGGCTGAGTCGACCTAGGTACTCAAACTATTGTTATTTTAATAAAAATAGTCGGCTGATGAAATGCCGGGTGCGGGAATCGAACCCACTACCTTCAGATTGGTAGACGAGAGCCTGTACCTCTACGCCACCGGGCACCTTTGCTTAGAATAACATACTGAATAATTCTAGTGATGAGTGAAATATCGGTAACTGTGACTTTGTCACTGATATTCTATAATCACAGTCACGGCCTGTGACTGATTTGAAAATAAACGGTGACTTGCTAAAGCGTGACGATTACAGTTAATTGTGATTTCTCTGGTAACGAGAAAATACTTCACAGAGCGGGACGTGGCTCGTCGCTTGTCGCGAACGCAGCTGCTGATGGCGCCGGTCGTGACTCAGTTCACAGTCACGAGTCACGACGTACGTCTCATAGG